TTTGATTCACAAAATTCTGCTCTGATACCATCTGTGACATCATAAATGTTAATTAAGGCAAATAAGTATCATATACAGATTTAAAATAAGGAGTGCATGATAAAATTTATGCAGCGGAACAAAATCATTACAAATTCCTTAGAAATACATATGAGTTCTAATACATACATATACTGAAGGCACAAGTGCATGCAAAACACAAAACAAAATATAAGGGCCACTTCTTTCACTATGCTATTGGACTTATCAGAGTACGGGAACAATCATGCACTCAGACTTGTGGATCCACGGGATCCTCATAGACTTCCAAGGGTAGGCTAACCTGCGGTTCCTCACTTTTTTCCTCATTTGGGGAGGGGGAGCATAGAAAAAAATGATTTCTATATCCTCAGTAAGAAAAATAATATTAAATTAATATCGTAAGATTTCAAAAGTTAATTATTTTATCTTACCATTTAACTTCCTCGTTTACCTATCTCACATTATGAAAAATCATTTATTTGTTAAGAAAACGATACGTTAATAAAAAAAATCAAACATCCATCATGCCAGATAATAGAAAAAATCAAATAAATCATGAAATGCTTAAATTTTTATGTCATGCTTCGCGAAGTCGTTATAACTTCCATCTCTGATGGTAGATACAGATTTTCAACTACTCAAGTGGAATGACCAGATCATATACAGATACAGTAATTTGCTCAGGCCCATTTCTGGCTAGCCAAACCATGGTACGATATATGATCACGGCCGTACTAGCCATATTGGCCCTAATAAATATCTACAGTTATAATATTACTTAGCCACAAGTGACCCCTACAGATAGTGCGGCACCACTCTCGTCAGAGGGTACGCCCTCATCCACTAGGAGCGGTACTCTTACGTTTTTTCAGACCAGATAGGAGAGGGGGAAACAGATACCCCGAAGGGTAAGGAGAACAGAGACCCATCAAAAATTAAAAATTCCAACGAGACACTTGATGCAATATATATGTCAATAT